AGCCCTGTGATAGACTAGCGACCTGTCCAGGGTGGACTCCGCCTCTCACCCAGTGTCAGCTGGGATTGGCTCCAGCGCCCCATGACCCTTGTTAGGATAAGTGGTATAGATAATAGATGGATGAACCAGACTTATGGAGGTCCATGCTGATTTCTTTTGATTTTCCCATGGTATCAAACAAAGAGGTACTGACTTTGAAGGTAGTCCTTATAATACATCCATAGCTGCACCTCCTATTGACTCAGATGATGTCAATTAGCCAATCAGAAGCTTCTAAAGCCATGATGTCATTTTCTATAAATTTTTAAATGCAGTCAACTGAGCATATGTAAACTTCTGAGCCACTGGAATTGTGATATAGTGAATTTATAAGTGAAATAGTACTGTATGTGTAACAGTCTTTAAATGGATTATATTTCCATCCATCCATCATCTATACCTCTTATCCTAATGAGGGTCGCAGGGCACTGGAGCCAGTCCCAGCTGACACTGGGTCCACCCTGGACAGGTCGCCAGTCTATCACAGGGCTGACATATAGACAAACAACCACACACACTCACTACTGCAGGCAGTTTAGAGTCATCAGTCAACTTAAGCTGCATATCTTTGGACTGTGGGAGGAAGCCAGAGAACCCACACTGGCACAGGGAGAACATGCAGACTCCACACAGTCCGCTGGGGCTCGAACCCAGAACCTTCTAGCTGTGAGGCGACAAGTGCTAACCACCGGGCCACTATTTTCTACTAATCTCCTTGGTAAGTCCAACTAAGCCCGTGCAAAATATACTTTGTGTTATGCAAGCTGGACTGCCATTATACAATTCAGATTAAGTATTTAAATGGTTTCATTCCTATATACTAAAATTAACATTAACAGTTATTTTACTTTCTTTCAAGGAAACCAAACAAAATATATTTAAACAACTCAGGCTTTAATTTGCCACATAAATATAACATCTGTCAGCATCATCAACAAAGATGTTAGAAAACTTGCGTTACAATGGTTTTTCTTCTCTCAAAAATCTTAAAAGCATTTAACAAGATGTACGTCCCCTATTTTGAAATATACTGTGTTCTTGAGTCCAAGGGCTTTCACATAAGTGCTTTCTAAATAAATTTGTAGTGTTATCTCACTTCCGTAGGGTAAGCCAGAGTCCTAGCATCATGACACAGGCTCAGGGTGCAGATCCAGTGTTGTCCAGAATGATCATTCCTTCAGTGAAAGGCCAATGTCCGGTTTCTGCACCCACCTTGTTGATGGCGTACGTTGGCCTTCTGCAGGTCTCCTTGGATGTCCTGTATATTTTAACACAAAGGGTCAACGTTAATTTAATTTTAATGGAATGTTTTACTTGATGAGAAAAATTCCTCTCTCACATACCAAACAGTCTGGTGATGTTCTATATTTATTTTCTTGCTAAGCTGTGTAATTGAGGGCACTGAATTAACAACAACAAACCTCTTTGTTTACAGTATGGGCTTTGTTAAGAAGTGCACTGCATTCGGGGGGGGGTCAACATTCATTCTGTAAGAAACCACCAGAAATTATGAGATAATGCTGCAGAACTTGCCTGAAAAGTTAGTATCAAAGTAATTCAGTGATAGTTGTGAGAACTGCCAACAGAGCATAGCAAAAGTGAACTATTGATAGCCAATTCAACATACACAGTGTAACTCAGTATAGATACTTGTGCAGCAGGAAAGCTCCTGAACCTGCTTGAGAAACATTTGGTTTTTAAGGTTTATTCAGTAGTTGTAGTAGTAGTTGCCCATGGTGGCGGCGCGTATGCACGCAGCAGCCCAGAGCCCTCGGCTCCACACTAAATTTCGTTGTACGTGTCGCAATGTTACAATGACAATAAAATAAAAGCTGCTTCTTCTTCTAGGCTATTTACATAATCTAACAGTAGGCTAGGTAGCAAAATGAACTGCTGACAGCTGATTCGGCATAGGTAGTGTTCAAAAACATAAATAAATATAGCCTAGGCTAAAAACACCTGCATTGTAATACTGTGTCCATGACAACATTAGCTGTAGTCTACTTCCTGTTTGTGGTCCAAGTTTGTAACTGTTCACGAGTGATGACTATTAACGCTAAATGTTTTGTCATAATTATGATACAGATGTGAGGGTCTTGTAATAAGCTATAGATTATTGCTGCTATTTAAGAAGACGGAGGCATTATATATATATATATACACACATACATACACAGGCTACCTGATTTTGCTGTCTAGATCATCTATACAATGAATGAGCTTCAATATCAGTTTTTCGTAGTATTTTAAAAAATGTCACATTAAAGGTTTGGACATGTGAACAGATCATACTTTTACAAGAAAGTACGTTTTTAGCCTATATGTAAACACCAAGTATGTCGAGTTAACTATTTTCAGTTCATTTCTGTTATGTGCTATTGTAGGTTTTAAGGGAATTATGTTACTACTGAAGATATCTTAAAAACAAAAAAAAAAAAACAATGCTTCCCAATCAGATTCTGAAGCTTTCCAACTCCTGCTCAGTACATGTAGTGAGTTGCCATGGAGGCAGCAGCGCTCATGCCCATTTGTAGCCATGTATACCGAATTAATTATTAACAGTACTGACAGTTATCACTGTATTACCTTAATATGAAAGGTTTTGTCAAAACCTGATGATTTTCAGACAAGTTCTGAAGCATTCCAACCCCTGTATTATCTCATAATTACAAGATCCTTTGATGAATGTGATTCCCCAGCGGCTTTTAACTAGTGGACAAGTGACAACAGCACCTTAACATTCTCTATGATATAAGAAACCTGTGTACTTTTGAGTAGAAAATGCAGCTACGCTGACTTACTATATACTCCCGAATAAGATGCCCATCATCTTCACCAAGGTGGAGGCAAAGTGCCTTGAGAACCGCTGCCCTTTTAAGGTTGACGTCATCACAGGTTGTGTAAAAGGATTCCACAACATTAAAGACCAAATGGACAGTTTCCTTTCAGTTTTAATTGTGTAAGATTTAATTGTTTTAAGTACGAACAGCATATCTTAGAATTTGCTGTATAGCACACTAAAGCCTGATTAAAATGCATAACAACTACAAGTGGTCAAAAACAGTGTTCAGTATTAATATAAAATAAATATTCCATTCATTTGCTAGGGGTTTGGACTTACCACCAGGGTTTGTGGACCATTTATGAAAGGTTTCTTCCTCAAGCCTCCTGTGGTTCTGTCTGCAAAATCCTTTAAACATTTGCTGAAGAACATTATATTTTGTAAAGTGGAGTCAATGCAACAAGGGGGAAAACAGTGGCATTGTCTTAATAGGAACCAGTCATGGATGTGTTTTAAGCCATCACTGCAGCCTGTGCTTCAGATGGATTTACCAGAGGCCATGGCTTTGAATAGGGGTGATTTTTAATAGCTTGTCATTTATTAAATTAGGACAATACTGGGTGCTTGCGGGCAGTGAAATTGGACACAGACAGGCAGAGTGGAATATGAAATGTAAGCAGATGTTTGAGAGGGAATGAGGCAGACATCATGGGCTGAATGCTACATTTTCTGTGTGGTCAAGTAAATGCAAAAAAAGCTTATGATTCTTCAGGACTAGACTTCCCATCAAAGCTAAACCAAATAGCCACTGAGACCCAGTATGCTACCAGTTATTGACACATTATATTGAACTAATTGTTTCAGGAGACGGAGGAGGGAAAAGCTGTTGCATTAGGTATGGGGCTCATGTGAGGAGCCAGAGGGCCTGTTTGAGTGATGTGCATTTACCCTCATTCCATCTATATCTTAACAGGTTATTGAGCCCATGCTGCTGCGAGCTACTAGGTAGAGCTCTGTGTTAGGACATGCCCGACCAGACGAGAAGCACTGCTCTTTAACACAAGTGGCCTCAGAATGATTAGGTTTTGTTCAAAGGAGATTATAAAGAGTCAGTCAAAAGCTGGCCTGTCAGCTTTATAGCATCCCCAGCAGCTGATATTTAAAAAAAATCATTTTTTTCATAATTTTATCACAAAAAAAGAGTTTTTAATGCAGCCTTGCTCATTTGCTTGTCCTTTGTCCATACTAGCAAGTGTTGGTTGGTCCACCACTGTGGTCCAGGCTGAAATACAATATGTCAATAGCCATTGGATGAATTGCAATGAAATTTTGTGCAGAAATTCATGATCCCCAGTAGATGAATCCCCTCGACTTTGGTGATCTTCTCTCTTTTCCTCTAGCACTACAGTGAAGTTGACATTTGTGGTTTTGAATAAAAAGCTTTTGGCTGCATTGCTGTAAAACTTGGTGCAGAGATTCTCATCCTTCTCGAGATGAGTTGTAATAGCTCCTGTGATCTCTCACACAATCTGAATTTCTCCAGTATTTTGGTGCTCAACGTACAGCTGTATAACCTCACAGAGCTGCTAGCATGGCTCCAGACTCTCTTCAGTTAGTACTCATTTCTATACTTTTGTCCTCTCTCTGTTTCTCAGGCCTCAGCAACTGATTCCTCTCGGCAACAGCCCAGGCGGTGTAGGAGTTTACCCAGGCACCATAACCATGGCAACGACAGCCACATCATCCCCACACCTGACCTCAGACTGCTCCAGCAACTCAGCCAGCCCTGAACCTGCCATCCCGGTCATTCAGAGCACATACGGGGTGAAGAACGAGCCCGGCGGCGGAGGCAGCAACGGTGGTGGGGTGGCAGCCTTGGATCTGCCCAGTGACCCCACCAATGGAGACGACGACATGGACATGTACGAGGACTTTGAAGATGAGCCCAAGTCAGACTATAGCAGCGACCACGAGACACGGGAGGCCGTCAGTGCCAACTGAGCGCGCTCAGGGTGTCACTTGTTTAAAAAAAAAAAAAAAACTCCTGTTACACTCAGAGATACCTTTTGAAAACAATTTATTAGAGACCTTCAGGCAAACTTTCAGGACATGTTGCGTCATGCACTGAGCATGCCCAGACGAGATTTAAACTCAGCTGACAGTCGGGGGAACTCTTGGACAGCATTTCGATGGATGCGTTTGAAGAAGAGGGATTCTGGGAAAAATGTGACTCAAGAACACAACCTGAGCAGAGATTCAGACATCCAACTGACAGCGAACTTCAGTTTCCTACACTTTGACAATCTTAACAGGAGCGAATAAGAGTTAGACGAGAGACAGAGAACAAAGAACAAGTGAGCAGCAAACACGTGGCTGTGTGGTTTGTAACGAGCATGCATGGAGTTTGAAACATCAGGAATTGGTCTTCAACAGCTACTTGGTCTTAAATGTTTAAGGAGTGATTTAGTTTTGATCAGTATGTATTTACTTTTTGTGTTTTTTTTTTGTTGTTTTTGTTTGTTTGTTCTATAGACTTTTTCTGACAGGTCACTGCCTGTACAAACTCTGGACTGTCAGAACTTGAAATTTAAAAAGTTTTAATATAAATCTAGCTCTTGTAATCTTATAGTCTTACTTTCGTTTCTTACGAATACACAGTGCATCTACATCTTTTTTCTGACAAACTGCTTACAATTACATTATTGTTAGATTTTTTTTTTTTTTAATATCCAGCTCAGGTATGATGTGCCAGCTTGTGAATGTGTTTCTTTTGTTTGTTTGTTTGTTTTCATACAAAACGAGTAGGACTTCTCAGACTGTCATTGAAATAAAGGGAGCAAAATCCCTTATATCACATTATTTTTATTATTATTATTAGTGAGTATTATAACTAAGTACCCAGATATTGTACAGATTTACTTCAACTGTGCCAAACCTACATTCACATTCACTTGGGATGTTGTAGTCTTAACTTCCAATGCTGCAAAAAAGGAAAAAAAAGTCTTATACGAGCATTTTTTGCTATCTGATGAGTTTCTTCTCTGTAACTGCTGGCTCCCCTCCTCGCCCAATCACAGGCAGAGCTCAGGGAGGACGTGTTTTCGTCGCACTTGCTTAGTCGCTCTCACACACACGCACTCTGGCAGCCTCCCCTACTCAGAGTCAGAAGAGCAGCATTGAAGGCATCGTTTCATTCTTCAATTCCATTGCATCGGTGCTTTCATAAACCACATTGCCCATAGTTTCCTGTGGCCAAACACTTTTGTGCAGTAAGTGCAGCGAAGTATGGCGTACTAACCATTTGGTACTGTACATTTATATTCAGTCAGGCTAAAGGTATAGACATTTTTAGCTTAATTTCTGGTCAGACACAAAGAATCCAATCTTAAACCCTAAGCTTTGTTCTTTCAGTGTCACAGGAAATGGGAAGGAGCAGCCCCAGGAAGACCCTACTGTAGGATAAGGGTTTCTTATATTCTGAATCCCTTCACTGTATTTTAAATTGGTACAAATAATGTACAAAGTTTTACTATTTTTATTAGCTTAATATTTTTAAAGGTCTTCTCTGCATCATGTGGGAAAGACACACCAAACATGTTAAAACAAATTTATATAGCTGCAAAAAAAGGTCTGTTATTTCAAAAAGGGTACCTTTTTCTACATTGCATGTATATTTTTAAGACGACTAAATTATTAGGAGACGAATGGAGGAAAAAAGGATGCAAGCGGCTTCTCAGTCGCGCTCGTTCCAGTAAGAGCACACCAGTGTTTCCACAGGCTGAAGCAAGATGATCCCCTTTGTATCTTGCTGCAGCACAGTGGACAGCACGGTACTGGGAGGGCGTTCTTTTTGATCTCTATTTTACTCTAATCTCACACATCTTTTTTTTTTCTGTCTTTTTGATGCACTCTGCAATTTAAATATGTTTCCATTTACAACACCTGTGACCTCGGATCTGGGTGCTCTGTTTAGCTGTTTCACGTCTTCTCTTCATGATCATAAGTGGGAGTTTTTACTTGGAAAAGCTTCACAAGCTGGGATTGAACATTGGTTTTTGCTTGCATTACTAAAAAAGCCTCATGCATAGACATTTCCTTTAGTGTCATACACATCCTAAGCACTGGATAGAAATTGTGTTTTTAGTATTGACTAATGTGAAGTTGTTGGTTGGTTTTCAACATGATACAGTACATTAGAACAGTCAAAAGTCATGTTTGGATTGTAGAGGAAGCCTCCTAAACAACAGGTAAATTGCCATTTCTTTAGAAGCATTTCGTTTATTTAAGCAAATTTTGTTGCCGCAGCTCTAGTGCCGCCTCAAAGGGTCACATCACCTCTGATCTCCCTACAAAGGTAACCTCATGCTCTTGTCAAATGTGACCCGTAGAACACACATTTTCTGGTCACACACATTTTTGTGATGAGTATTGTATTTGAATTTCAATTGTGCGTTTTAACATTTCATTGTATTTATTAGCCAGCTTTGGCTCTAAAACGTGTCAGTACAACTTGGTGAGAAAGACAATCAAAAAAATAAATAAATAAAAAAGACTTGAGATTTTACTTACAAATATGTCACTTCATCATTGCTTTCCTTGGCTTTTGTGGAAAAATGTTGTTCCAGTGAAAACACTGCACAAGTTACAGGTAGTGCTGTGTGGTTTTTATTTCCATTACTCTAAATCGTGCACTCACTTTCCAGGGATCAAATAATTTCCCACACAAGGCTTTTTATTTCCAAAGCTGAGCTATTCCACTTGGTCTTTATATTTTGGTGGCCCATTACAGTAAAGGCAGCCTATTGTTCCATTGTGTGTGTGTGTGTAACACCACACATTCTGACTGTGCTGTGGTGTATACGCCATGGCGCCGTTGCTGACTACAGCCAATTCCAGCACTTCACAGAGAGAAACAGAGAGCTAAACCATATGCAGCCACATCGTAAATCTAATGGTAATTCCCAAATCAACTGTCGTGTCGCCCTGCGAGGTGTGCTCGCAAGTTTGTCACTCACTCTGGTGCCTACACTTGTGTGTGTGCTGTGCTATAGCTTTTAGTTGGAAGGGGTGTTTGAGGTCATACTTGTGTTGTTGCCATGCTAATCTAAGTCATAATTTACATTTCCTTTTGCTTTCTGCTGGATGAACATTTAGCTGTTTGCAAGTTGACGGATTGTTTCTGTGTGCACAGTTATGTAAGTGAATGCAAAGCTTTCAGCACCTTCTCAGATGTTAATACAGTTCATTACAGTGCAGCGTTAAGCCCTTTTCATACACTAGCACCCTGACATGATGTAGACATTACCCAGAGCAGCTGTATATAAGAAAGCACATGTCAGAGTCAGTTGGCACAGACTTTAAGCGGACATTACCCTGCCAGCTCTCTGGTACAAAGGCCACGTAATGTCCAAGTGAGACGGAGTGAGCTGATCTGAGAACACAGCAGTGTATAGGGTGCCACACTGGTGAGTCCTAAAACCCGTTAACATTTTTGCACTTCCACTTCCCTCGCTCCTAAGAAATTGCGTTTTTTGCATGGGCACTGGGTTCGATGCCTGGAATAAGGTTTGTGGTTAACACAAGCCCAGTAGATTTTCACACTTGGTTCTGCGAAATAAATTACATCAACAAATACCCCACTTAAAAAAAAAAAAAATGCTTTTACGCGCCTTAAAAAAGGTGGCTGGTAACAAGTGGCTAAATGAGACCACAAATCAATAGCTGGGATATTAAATGTAAAAACATGGAGACTCATCAACTCACTAGTCCGTCGTTGTCCAGCCTTATTATTTCTATTTACAGACAATAAGTAATACATGGAAATCTGTTTAAAAAAATACTGTCAGGGGGCCATGGACCACTGGTTGAAAACCCCTGATCTATGATAATATCGTAATTATAATGTAATGTGTGAGCTGACATTATGTCATTCACTTCACAAAAGTAAAATAAAATCAAAAACACACATTCATCGAGTTATGTAGCCTAATAGGTTAGACTAATGCACCAGTGCGCTGAGTGCACACAGTGTGCACATGGTCCACAAGTTAAACTAGCACAGCTGGCTAAAAATGCATTAGCAAAGACAAAAATGAGCGCCAGGAGACAAATTGCAGACACAACCAGCTCCGCGCTCTATGCCGTCAGATTTAATTGCTACACATGGATCGTCCTCACTGGCAAGGAGGTATTTTGGCTTTGAAAAGACAGATGTTGCTCAGTAGATGACAATCTGCAAACTAAATTGGCTGCTGTTAAAGACAACTGGAAAGTTTGTTGCACCATCTGAGAACTAACCACTGCACAGAACATGAAAAACTCGGGCTGTTGGCAACAGGGCTAAACCAGCCGAGGTACCAGCACAGAAAAAAGCACTGCTAACACTGTGCAAAGCGTTTTCAATGTTTGTGTAAGGCATTGTTGTACTTGAATGCTTCAGATTTAAGTCAATAAATAAGATCTGTTTTCCTTAATTGTGCTTCCAATAATACAGCAGGTATCATTAGAAAGCAACAATTATACGTTAACGAGAGTGAGCTAGTATCGTCTGCTTATCGTCATCAACGAAATCCCAGAAAATAATTGAGATATCATTTCTTTGTAAATATCACACCCCTAAAAGCAGCTACAGCATTTTTTGGTTTATGTGCATCCAGCACGTGAGCTACGTATGGCCTGCTGTCTGAAAATAAGTAAGAAAAAAACTAAACTAAAAGACTGTCGTTTTTTGTGGTAATTGAAGTGGTACCCCCTTGAATTGTCCCAGTGAGGGAAGTCCCCAGATCCGTGAACCTTCAGACACATCTTCCAACATAAAACTCCACCTGCATCGGTCTCTACATCCAAGTAAAGTAACAAAAAGCAAAACACATTTTGGAATGGAGGGGAAATTTAAAGAAAATCCAAATTTGTACTTATCATGACTGAACTCTATTTGTTCTGCTGAGTCATTAACAACAACAAATGTTTACAAAAAAGATTAACTGGGAATCTTTATGGGAACACATCTGATTATTACCAAGACCAAGAAAAAAAGAAAGATGGTGAGAAGAAAGCGTTAAAGCCAGATGTTTGGCAGTAAACCTTGACATCTTCTCCTCAAGTGACTGAGCTCAGGCTTTGAATTTACCTCTCTTTTCTCATGGGTTTGATTTGTGGTAATGATGAGGTATCAGGACATGTTTCTTCATGAAAGCCTGGTCTTGGATGGGCCCTCTAGACAAATTCACTTTTTGATTTTTCAGAACCATTTAAAGAGCAGAGAGAACAAAATCCTTTCTGTGTTTTCCTGCTCACTGATCAGGCCTTTAGATCAAGAGAATTATAAATTGTTATTACAAAGGCGGAGCCCCCTTCAGACGTGTTGGAGAGGCTCTTTCAGTGAGGCATCAAAGCCACCCGGGTTGTGATCATGGAGGCTTCACTACTCATTAAAACACAAAACGGTCCCAGTTCTGCAGCACGTTACCGTCCTCTTTGAGCTAAGAGCTTATGATGCCTAGTCATTCAAATGTTTTTGATTCAAAAGGAGAATAATTGGCCCTTGCGCTTCCGCTGAGCTGCTCCTGTTTGATGAGCACTGTGAACAATCTTTCAGGTATAAGTCATTTAGAAGTTTAACTGCCATCTAACTGTGATTTAAGCAGCATTTCAACATGAAGAAGATTTTGTAGTTGGTTTGGAATCAAAAGTAAGGGCCAACTGAGGTCAGGCACACTGTGCACGTTGTTTTACAGTGGTGGAAGAAGTACTCAGATCCCTCAAGTAAAAGTAGCAATACACAGTTAGAAGCCCTGCTTTTAAAATGTTACTTAAGTAAAAGTACAAAAGTATTAGCATTAAAACATGCTTCAAGTACTAACAGTACTCATTATGCAGAATGGCATATTTAACGATATACAGTGGAACCTCGATTTTCATGATTAATCCGTTCGAAAAAGTCCCACGAAAAACAAATCGTACAAAAACTGAAGCAATATTTCCCATAAGAAATAATGTAGATCCAATTAATCCGTTCCAGACACCCAACAATATTAACAAAAAATACATTTTATAGACAATAACTATTTTCACATACAGAAAACAATGAGAAATAAATATAAATGACTAATGAAATGGATAAATGAACATTTAACATCACTTTTACCTTTATTGAAGACTCTTGTTGGCGTATGGAAGACGGCAAGGAGGGGAGAGGGAGGAGGAGAGGTTATTGTTTGGAAGGGGAATCCCCCTCCATAAGAACTTCATGTATCAAGGCCCCATCTGGGGTTACTTCCCTTCACTCATTTCTTCCGGGAAATGAGTGGCCAAGTCACGCGGGCAGGCGGACGAGTTTGGTACGGACTAATGAAACCGACCAATCAACTGTACGAAAACCGAGCAGATGTACGAAAACTGGGAAAAATTTTGACAAAAAAAATTTGTCGAAAACCGAATCGTACGGAAAGTAGGGCATACGAAAACCGGGGTTCTGCTGTACATCATGTTACTGGATTATAATTACTGTGTTTATCACTTTAATGTTACAGCTGGTAAAGGGGGAGCTACTTTTAAATAGCTTATATGTTTAGAATTTGATTTACTGCTGGGTAGCTTGTAGATTTTCTAGCAGAGATCAAAAGAGTCCTAAGATTATGCTGTAATTTTTGCGGCTGTGGCTCAGGAGGTAGAGCGGGTCGTTTCCTAACCAGAGGATTAGTGGTTCGATTCCCAGCTTGTCCAGTCAACATGTCGAGGTGTCCTTGAGCAAGACGCTGAACCCCAAGTTGCTCCCGGTGATGTCACCGGTGTGTGAATGCGTGAGTGCTTGGGAGTGCGAATGGGTGAATGGCCGAATAATGTGAAAGCGCTTTGAGTGTGCTGTAAAAGCATAGAAAGGCGCTATACAAGTATAAGACCATTTACCATTTACTAAACTGGCTCTGAAAGGTGACTAAAGTTATATAATAAATGTAGTGCAATAAAAAGTACAATATTTATGACTAAAATGTAGTAAAACCAAAGTAGCACAAAAAGTACCTTGTATTTATGGACATTATTTGAATAAATGTATTTAGTTGCTCTCCGCTGATATTTTTCTTATCAAAAATACAACTAGATATTTGGGTTTTTTGTCATCAGATATTTAAAAGTGTCTTGGTCCTGCATGTTTACTCAACACAGTTCATTCTTCAAACATCGAGTCACTCGTAGGTCTAAGCTGAAAGCCTACAGCTTAGGCTAATGCAAAAAATTTATTATTATTATTATTTTTAAGTATGTGCTGAAATTGAAATTCTGACACCCAATGATGGCACTGGATAAAAAGCCAAGGTGTGCATTTATGGAACATAGATGTGTGTATCAAACTGCACAACAAACCATCCAATAGTTAAGATGCTTTACTTAAAAAAAAATATATATATATATATATATGTGTGTGTGTGTTTACGGATACCGACTACGGGATGGAGCAGCCATCAGCCACCTCCTCTACATGGCATACATCAAGCTGTATGCCAGGAGTGAACGAGACATCGACTCACTGATCCACACCACTAGGATCTACAGCCAGGACATCGGGATGTCATTCGGACTGGATAAGTGTGGTTGAATGGTAACAAGGAGAGGGAAGGTAGTCAGAAGTAAGGGGACTGTACTACCAGAAGGAAGGAGGCCGATTAGTGAGCGTCAGAGCCACTATCCAGGATGAAACAACAAAGATCCATGAATACATCAGGCAGATGTGATGATGTGCTTAGTGAATACATCAGGCAGAAGAAACCAGAGGAACAAGGGAAGGAAGAGCAGGAACCCTCATGGAAGGACAAACCTCTGCACGGTATGTACCACCGTCAAATAGTAGAAGTGGCTGATATCGATAAATCCTACCAGTGGCTGGACAAAGCTGGACTGAAAGACAGCACAGAGGCACTAATCATGGCAGCACAAGAACAAGCACTAAGTACAAGATCAATAGAGACAGGGGTCTACCATACCAGACAGGTGCAGGCTGTGCAAAGATGCCCCTGAGACAATCCAGCGCATAACAGTGGGGTGCAAGATGCTAGCAGGCAGGGCATACATGGAACACCATAACCAAGTGGCTGGCAAAGTGTACAGAAACATCTATGCCGAGTACAGGCTGGAAGTCCCAAAGTCAAAATGGGATACACCTCCAAAGGTGGTAGAGAATGACCAAGCTAAGATCCTGTGGGACTTCAAGATACAAACTGACAAACTGGTAATGGCCAACCAACCGGACATAGTAGTGGTGGAC